AATTTCCACTCTGACAAATTATTACATATATATAGCCTAATAAGATGGGGTTTTTTTTTCAATCGTTGTTAAAAAATCATTGTTTACACTGGTTCAAGAGAGACACAAAAGGCAATTTTTATGAAATGATCTATTTAATGGAATATTTATATATTAACGTCTCTGCTTATTATACACTGTACACACTGTAACTGCGAATTTTCGACTCTGTTTAAAGTAGGATGTGAATTTTATTTCATAGTGGTTATAGAGGACGAAGACCTGGATGACGTCATCAACAATAATAACAACAACAACAATGGACCATTACCTGTCCCTCTCAGCAATGAGCCATCCTGAGCCTCCCCAGATTCTTAATATTTTGGACCAGCTATTCGTGAAATGCTTCCTTCTGCCACAGGACAGTCGGGACGCTTTCAGCAGGAGAAAAGACAGACACCTCTCCCAGTATCAGATTCACACGAGATCCGCATGCATTTCAGCTGTAGTTTACTAGTCGCATGGCAGCAGCTGTCAGCATACAACAGGCCAACACAGGTTATTTGTTGCGTAGTAGCTTCTTAGATCAGAGCTCTGTGTGTGACACTCGTGCCTCCCGGAAGGAGAAATGTGTGTAGACTGATCAACATATTTCAGACCAAAGGTAAAGACCAGCCACTGTAGACCACTCTGTCCAGATTTGTGCTGTTAAAAAGATGTTGTCCTTCACTTTATTTATTTATTCAAACAGTTGGTGAGAAGAATAGCACAGTGTTCTTGTATTTGTACTCAGTTTGTCTCTTAAAACCAGGAAATGTTGGAAATATATGCTGCTTCCTTGAGTTGTGGTTTTCAACCTTTTGTTATTCAACCTTATTCAAGCACCCACATGTACACTAAGATATATTTCAAAGCTTGTTTTTTTTATTAACATAAACTATCTATAGGTTATAATAATAGGCTATGCTTAATTTCCATTGGTTTCAGAACTAAACTAACTTATTTAAGGTAGATGAATTTGAACTTTTTTTAATTCTTTAAAATAATTTTTCCTTATTTTGTACATAATCGTAAGTCATTTTGCCCACCCTGGTTGAGAATCACTTTCCTAAAGGCTTTTGCATCTCTAGCTGCTTTACATGTTTTTATGCCTTATGAAACATTGCACGTTGCGTCAGTTATCACTTTGAAAAGCTATGCACTTGCCTGATTAGTACCATGATAAATTATTTGTATGCATTTTTGATCAACTATGTAATAAGTTGATTCGATCAGTTGGCTGAATGATTTTGTGGCACGTATGAAACATTTATATTGTTTTATGTGTTGCTTGCATTCTGTATTTCAGCACTGGATAAAGGGACATGCAAAAAATAATTAATGTGTAAATCAGTTTGACATACTCAATAAATGACAAGTGTATAAAGCTGAGCTCGTTTTTGTGAGTCAAAAGTGTCAATCTGTTCCATTTCTGGCCACTAGATGGCAACAACCCATTAGAAATAAACAGTTCTGCGTTTGGTTTTTTTAGCTTTTCCTACTGCTGCTCTTTTTTAAAACCATTTATTGGCATTAGACTACGTATTGCAAACTGCCTCAAAATCTACAAGTTTAATCTCTAGGAAAACCTGAGCTAGAAGGTGGGTTACGTTTGTAAGAAATTTGAGGTTCCATATCGTTTTAAGTTGGCGCCATGAACTCATCAAAATCACCCATACCACGTCTGCAAACAGACTTTTTGATATTTTGTGGGAAATCTTGACAGCATTTTATGTTTAAAATGTTTCGTCAAAGACTATATATGGTTTCATCCGATTCAAATTCAAAAGTGGAATATTAGTTTCCTCGGGTAAACGCGATTTGTGTTGTCAAGCGTCTATAACGTTTACCAGTGGCTATAATTTTGTTATTGTTACTGACTCGTTTATAAATGAAACCATGCGGTATAATGCTGTAAACCATATTTACTATATAGACCAACTTATATGTATGAAGATTGAAGAATAAGCCTTCCCAGGGTATCTGCACACTTTTTAAAGTCAAATTTAAGGCTTTTTAAGACCTTTTTAAGACCTGAAGAAATCAAAATTAATACCTTACATTAGGGGTGCGCAATATTGAAAAAAAAGTCTCAATATTTTCAAAGTTTTGTTGATGATAATTAGATGATATTTTACTGATTGTGCTTGTGTACTGGTACCATGGCTGGTTTAGGCCTGTTGTTGACAGCTGACTCATGAAGATATTCATATTTTTCATATTCTATGCAGTGGTCAGTTCACAGCAGTGAAAGGAATTAACATTTTTCATTAAAGGGCAATATTTGCAACCTTAAATTGAGTTCCAGGGGCATTTTCACCCATATATGGACTTTTTTTTTTTTTTTTTACTTAGAGGTATGCATCACCTTTTATGTCAAATTCTAACATTCAAATTAAATTATATTAGAATAATAACACAATACCACTGTTACCAGTTAAATTAAATCATTAAATCAAAATCCATCTTTGCAGTGCAGAGGAGACACAGAAGCAGCATCAGAACTGGCATTAATATATTTATACTCCATTTACAATTGCATAAATAAAGCTATGATATATTCAATTCTTTTAATTCTTAATTCAATATTTAAATATGAACTGATTTCTAATTGTAACATTTTAATTACAGGGTACTTTAAATGTGAAACTAAACCCGCCAGTAGGTGGCGGCAAGTCACTGTCTCAGGGAGTCATTCATTCAAACGATTTGTTCAAACGGCTGATTCATTCAGGAACTGCAAGTGATTGTTCATTGAATCGTTAAAATGATTCGTTCAAAACGCGGATTTCAGTAAAAAAATCATCGCTGTCTTTTGCATTGAGTATCTGCTACGGTTTCCTTTTGAAATTCTCGTCAGCGAAATAAGGGGAAAACAAACAATATTGACAATATTGTTTATAAAATGTAACAATGTTAATTTAACTGTTATATAAAATAAATATCATATTTGCTATTGTGCACGGGAAAACAGCCCTCTTGCTGATGTAATATTGTATGATAACAACATATGATATATAAAATACAAAAACTTTATACGTCTATTAGGGAACATACCTATAACTGCACTGACACATCACGCAGTGAAAGCAAGCATGAGAGACAAATGCGATGTCGGCTCGCAGTGCGCCCTCGTACATAGTTAACGTTAAAGTAAAACAATGAGTAATATCATAATAGACAATACACATCGCACACCACTACGCACATAAAGAATGAACTTACAATTGAACTGAAATTAACCAGCTTTCTTCTCCTCTCCTGCTGTTTCGCGTGCAGGAGACAGACGTAATGCTGGCGCGAATGTGACGCGAAATGTCACGTGAACGAGCAAATCCACAAAGAACGAATAATAAATAAAAAAGTACGCTAATTAGATAGTTTTAATTTGGAAAACATTTAGATATGTCTAACTCAAATTGCCATTGAAAATTTAAGACCTTTCATAAGTCAAAATAAGACTTTAAGACTTTTTAAGGCCATAAATTTTTAAAATCTAATTTAAGACTTTTTAAGACTTTTTAAGGACCCGCGGATACCCTGCTTCCAACCTTTTATTTTGGCTTTCTTTTGGGGTCTGAAGTTTAGCGTTTGACTGACGAGGAGATTATCAGGCATTATCTCTCAAGTGGCAGCAGAGCACAACACCCAAACGAGGAGGAAAAAAAGTACCTTACATTTTGTCCCATATATTTATAGCTGATTAAACGCAAATTCTCTTTGTAAACAAGTTTTATTTATCATGTTCTTACTTCCTGTATTATAACCAATAATAGGACGTTCGTGAAATAATGGCTCGACCTAGTAATTGTTACCCACAGCAAAATGTACTGACCCATTTTCCATTCACTCATATTCTCCCATTACAGGATAATTTACATTAAGACACGTCTGCAGCGATAGCCAAACATGCAAATAATGCCGAAACAGAAAGCAGAGGACTACGTGACTCACCAAGACTGAGGTATTTGCAAATCACTAATATAGGTTAACTGCCACAGATATCAGACACTCACAAAGAACATGAAATTGACAGGTCTTGTTAAAAAATTTATTTACATAAAATTTGTAATTTGTAACAAACTTAAAACAGTCAAAAACTTTTTTTAAAGTTAAATATTTGCATAAGCCGGTCACAAATATACATGTGACCTAAATTTACCTTAACTCCTAAACAGACTTGAGGGCAACCCATCTCAAGTGGTCCAAGCACAAAGAACAAAGGAAAGAAATGTGGACAGATAAATAAAAAAACACGTAATCCATGTGACCTCTAGTTTGTAACCAGCTGTGATAAAATTGAATAAATATCTACAGCCTTTTTCTCCTGACCAGTAAGTGGTGTGTATAAATACAAGAAAGGAGTATCAAAACATTTTGCAACATTGGCTTTATAAATGTGCACATGCAACAAGGAGGACACTGAGGAGCTAAAGCACAAAAGCTAAGGTTAAGTTTCACCTTGCATATAGAAGAGCCATTTCTTTGAATAAAAAAAAAGAAAAAGAAAAAAAAAAGAAAAAGCATTGATCATGTTGCTCAGTAAAAGAAACCGACCAATCTGCTAAATTTGAAGTTTAGTGCCTTTATCTTTTCATCTAAACCAAGTCAAGCTTATGTTTTTCACCTACAGTTTCATGTAAGCACCGTCAGTATAACACTACTTTACATAAACGAGTTAGACTTTAGTTATTTTCTACTTCCTTTCTATAAAAAAAAAAAAGTCAAAACAAAACTTCCCTCAGAGGGTGTTGATTTGATAAAATGAAGTATCGTTTGAAAAGCGGTAGTCTGATGACACAGGGACAAGCAAAGTGAACCAGAAATGTGCATGTTTATGCCTTAGTTCTTTAAAAAAAAAATATATATATACACATTAAATGAAAGTTGTTCTCATGCCCCTCAGTGTCTGGCACAATTCATTAGATGAAATACACAGCAAGCAAGGGAGATGATGAGGTCAGGACAAAGCTTTACAGCAGTGATGCAGTGTAACTAAGCGGTACGAGTGATGATTTTTCCCTGAGCATGTCACCCTCTTTCATTTTCACTAAACATGGCAGTCTCATGAATCGAGGAACACACTGGGGAAGAACCCCCCCCTCTTTCCAAACTCACATCAGCAACAGGATTGTAAATAGAAAGAAAAAAGACTTTGTGCTTATCAAAAGAAAGAAAAACAGAAGTGACCTTATTTTCTGAGGTGGGCTGATGTATCGAGCACGAGTAAAAGTTGCCAGAGAACACTGATCTGAGCGGTTTGTTCTATTCCAAGTCAACCACAATAAAAGAAATAACAAATCATAACAGATCTCAGATCAGCGGACTAGGGAAACTTCTACCCACGCTCCATGATTCGTTATGGACTTCTTCAGCTTGAGAAAAACTGATGCGGCTCAAACGTACTCCTTGCTGCTGCTGGGGGGTCTGGAGGACTTGGGGTACTTGGGAGAGGGTTTACCCTTTGGGCAGGAGGCAGCCAACATGCCTCCACCCATTATGTCCAGGAACGCACCAGCCCAGGCGATGAAAACGGCTGAACCAAACTCATACCTACAGAAATAGAGTATTATATTATGAGCATGTGACTTCCCTTCTCAGTACTGAAAGAGAAACTATAAAATAAGGTGAAGCACATGGAAAAATGCATATACTTTTCTTGTGGTTGGCAGCCACATTTAAACTTACTTTGTATTGACAGGTGTGAAGGGGTTGTAGAAGTCCCGGACAATTTGACTTGTAAACCAACCACAGGCAACAATGCTACAGAGGGCTGAGGAATGGAAGAGAAGCGATAAATTAGTTACTTATGAAAAAAAAAAAATTCCACACTACACAGTATTTGTTTTCGACACAGTATCTGCCCTCTGACTGGGAGTGAACATTTTCTACATGTCATCTGTCAAAGTCATATTCAGAGCAATGCGAAACCAAAACTGTGAAGATAGATATTCCAAACCTAGAAAGAGTTCCTTTAACCTCAACATTTAAAAAATCAATTATTACTTTTATTTAACTGCATATTTCAGGAATTCTTTGGGAACATGCTTTACTAGTTCACACACAGAAACTCTGTTTTTGTCACTGCTGTAGTTTAATTGCATAACAACATTAATATCTTAATATTAGAGTGAACGTACCTGCAACAATGAGGATTATCCCGCCTGTCATGGCAATGCGGGACTTTTTGACCCTGTCATCACCACCACAGTTAGTGCACTTCATGCCCATGCTGGCCACACCCAGTCCCGCTACTGTGAATAGGATCGCTACAATCATCAGGGCACGAGTTGCCTGGAGAGCACCTGAAAGAGGGGAAGGGTAGAGGAAGAAAGAGATTAATATTTTAGTCTCGACATGTACATTCATTACAGTGACATTCAGACTACCCACAACATTAAAAAAAGCTTATTTTAAACATATTTCCTTAATTGTTTATCATAGTTGAAGCCAGTTCAGCACACAAAAAGTGCACCAATAGTGAATCAAAAAGATTATGAACAGACTAAAGGGTTTTGAAATGGCCAGATTGTTTTTGTTCCTCTCTGACTGACGAGAAAAGCCTTCCCCCACTACACCTGCAGTCAGGTGCAACAAAGACCGGTTCCAACCGGAAGCCTCCTTTGAGAGAAGATTGTACACATATGTGGGCAGCGATTTGCCCTTTAGATACAGTGAAGGAACAGGTTTAACCAGTCATGGGAACTTGGGTTTCACTGCAACAATCTATCTACTTTTGCTCTATGGGCATGGCTTTCAAAAGCATAACACATAATTTTAGTATCATAAGCCAAATTATTAAGAAATTTATTAGGAAGAACTGTTTATTAGGAGCTTGTCACCTGAAGTAAAATGCATATTAAAATCTTACAGGATGTACAAAATGGCTGCTGGCCATTACGTCACCTTGCCGGGTTTTCTTTTTGCTTGTGCCCTGTTAAATCTCATGGTTTATCCCTAATAGCAATACTACAGTAAGATATCATTAAATGTGTTGTACTTATGCGTGCATAACATAAAATGAAACAAACTCACTGATAAGAGTCAATTTTATTTTAAGCTACATCAAAATACTTATATGGTAATTGGCTAAATGACTTAAGCGTCTATAAACATACTGTTTAGCTATAAACACAAAAGGTAGAAACGAGCCAAATGACTCCTTTACATCGGTCTCAGATGTGGGGAGTAAAGAGGGGATGAAATAAAGGTAAACATCACAGACCCCTGTTTTTCTAAAAAAGACTCTTTGAGTTTAAATAACTTCATTGTCTGTTTAGGTTATTAACAAAGGAGTCCTCATTTGGTTGTTTTAATAAGTTGTTGGAAAAATGTTTGAGCCATTTAAAGACAATGCCTGACTCCCCCACCCGACACAGGAGCACTGTTTCCGCGAGTGGAGGAAGGGTGGGAGTCACACCCATGTAATCATTACTTTGAGTAAAAGCGTAACCCAACCGTATCACCCAACACTAAACTAGCATTGTCCCAGTTGGAATGTTCACCTAATGTTACAGGTATAGTTCACCCAAAAAATGTTTTTGTTTTTTTTATTTATCATCATTTACCTTCAAGTTGTTCCAACTGTATGAGTTTCTTCTGTTGAACACAATAGATGATATTTTGAAGAATGTTGGTAACTAAACAGTTGAAGGCACCCATTGACTTCCATAGTATATCTTTCCCCTACTATGGAAGTCAATGGCTACTGCAACTGTCTGGTCACCAACATTCTTCAAAATATCTTTTGTGCTCAAACGAAGAAACTCATGCAGTTTTGAAACAACTTGAGGGTCATGACAAAACCCCAATTTTTGGGTGAACTATACCTTTAAAACCCTATTTTGTTTATTGACCAACTGAATACAATGAATAATCTCCTGTTTTGACTACTTTGGCTTCAAAACTTCACTGTTCACACATCCTGAAGGTCTGCTGCCCCTTTTACCGCCTTTGAGCTTCCTTTGACCCAAAACGAATGGATACATAAAGCAAAAGATAAAATCAAAACAAATATCATTATCTAACACCAATCTCTGCAAGAATGTGAGAGATACTCAAACATATTTGTTTGACATCAAACGCCACTAGCCAAAATGGATAAAATCAAGAGAAAAACGTGCATTTCTGAGGGAGGGCATAACAGGTGCGTGTCCTTGCTGTGGTAACTCGAGACGAGTTGCTATAGGGCGTGGCAACGACAAACAAGAAGAGTGCTAGCTTTCATGTACGGATAAAGACAAACATCACAACAGTTTTAAATATGACTTGCTCCTTATATTTGACAGATAAAAATAATAATAAAAGAAAATAATTACCAAGAGTATGTTTGTATGTTATCGACAAAAGTTTAAAAGTTTTTTTTTTTTTTTTGCTCTGCTAACATAGCTGTATGACACGACAAAAATAAATTATATCAGTAAGCTGGCACCCTTCGACGCCAGAACACTCGTATCATTATCATCACAGTGTGAAGACATCATATGCCAGTACGCGCATGCGCCCTCTCAGATAGCATTTCACCAAGCAAATGCTTAGTTTAGAACCATAACTAGAAGGCTATTCTAAAAAAAGACATCCAGTGGTGTTGTTGTCGTCTATAATATAGCTTTTGAAAAAAAAAAAACGTACAGGTGGTTTGCACTTACCATCGAGTTGTAGGATTGAGTCGTACACCTTGCACTGGATTTGACCGGTGCTCTGAGATGCGCACGACATCCAAAGGCCTGAATACATCGCAATCGCTGTGATTATATTATCTCCAACGTAGGCAGACATCTTCCATTGAGGCAAGATTGTGCCAATAATGAGCCCAATCAAACCCAGAACAGATAGAGCAAATCCCAGGAGCTGCATTCCTTTATTCGCCATCTTCTCACAATGATTTTAAAAAGACGAACTAGTCTGAAACTATATCTATTTAATATCTGAACGCAACAGTTCAGTGGGTTTCTGTAGTCCTCTCGTGAATGGGTAAAATTCACAAGAATGTGTTCGAAATGTTTGTTTTTTTTTAAATCCGCGTAGAGCCGTTGTGGATGCCCTGACTCAGTCACCTGTTGAATGAAGCCGCACCTGCTTGAAATGAAAGGAGCTGCTGATTTGAGCTTTAAGAGTCTCGTCCTCTTTATGGGCGGAGACATTCTGAGTTTCGTCTAGGTTAGGTTCAGTTTTTTTTGCCCATGTTGAATTTTGTAGAGGTCGGGGGTTTTCGTGAATCGTGACGACACCGTATCGAAGTATGACAAATCACAGCTTGTCTTACTTTCATCGTTTGATGATATAGAATCTTTATATCAGCTTCTGTGACCTGAATGTCAAAATGCCTCGTTCAAATGGATATAAGACTTTGTCTAAACCCTTCTCCAAATAATATGGGCTACATTATGCAGTTTATTTATTTATATATATAATTTTGGTAGGCTATACTAGCTGCTATGGTCAAGTGTTTGGAAACATTGCGTTTTTTTTAATGTTTTTGAAAGTTGTCTCTTAAGAAGTTAAGAGACCAAGGCTGCATTTATTTGATAAAAAATACAGTAAAAACTGTGAAATATGATTGCACTTTTAAATTAACTGGTTTATGTTTTAATATCTTTTCAAATGTAATTTATTCATGTGATGGCATTGCTCCAGTCTTCAATGTCACGTGATCCTTCAGATGTCATTCAAAGATCATTTCTTATTATTATCAGTGGGAAATCATGATACACTGCTACTCAAAAGTTTGGGGCAAGTACGATTTATTTTTTATTTTATTTTTTTACTTTTTAAAAAATAAAGTAATAGACCTACTTATAATAAGCAAAGGCACATTCAATTGATAAAAAAAAAGACAGTACAGACATTTATAAAAAATAATAAATATTACAAAAAAGTTTTATTTATAATAAATGCTGTCCTTTTGAACTTTCTATTCATAAAAGAATCCTAAAAAAAAACCCAGCTTCCACAAGAATATTAAGCAGCCCAACTGTGTTTAACATTAATAATAAGAAATGTTTCTTGAGCACCAAATCAGCATATTAGAATGATTTCTGAAGGATCATGTGACACTGAAGACTGGAGTAATGATGCTGAATATTCAGCTTTGACATCACAGGAATAAATTACATTTAAATATACATTTTATATATTTGTACATGGGCCAATACTAAATAGATTGGGGTCGGTTCGATTCTTGTATGTTTTTATTTTATTTTATTTTTTAAGTCTCCTTTGCTTACCACGACTGCATTTATTGGATATTATGAACGGTAGCTTTGTTGACATTTTTTCTACCGGTATTTGGGATTCAGTGTTCAAACAAATTGTTGTGATACTGAGTCATACTTCTTAAGGATGATATTGTTACAACCGAAGTGCCAAACACAGTGAAATGTCATGACAATCTTAGGCCAGCTAATAAATGGAGGAATTATTTTTAGACTTCAATTGACATGAGTGAGTGATGGTTACTAACCACAGAAAGGAAACTCACACTGCAGGAAATGCACCTAAATGCAATGTTTGTAAATTAGCATATTGACATAGATACAATATTGTTTGGGTGCATAGGTGTACCTTGCACTGGGGTTTTAAACTTCTTTAAAAAAAAAAAAAAAAAAAAAAAAAAAAAAAAAATTACTTTAGCAAATATATTTGTACTAGGCCAAAGCAAATTATATATATATATATATAAAAAAAACTTTAGAAATTAACTTATACCTACTAACAGAGTAATGTTAATGTATAAACATGAGGAGAAACATTTTTCATTTTTCAATTGATTTTAAGCAGAATAAAAAAGCAATAATGTCAATCTTTTTTCTTTTCTTTTTTTTTATACATTTGTTTTGGCATGAAATTTTATGCGGGCATTCTAGTCCCTGTACTCAGGCCTACCCAAAACACGTTTTAAATTTTCAAACTGTAAAACATATTTTTTCAGTGTTGTTCTGACATGCCTTCTCTGTTTTCGAAACTGATGTGCTGATAATGTATATCTGTGTTATAAAAAGCCAAACTGTTTAGGTTCTAAACAGGCTTACTAACCACTCTGTAGTTCCTCAGAAATGTACTCTTCAAATAGTTTTCAGGTGAGTTATTGTCGCTTAAGGATATTTTTTCATTGCTGTTTATTTTGCCACATTATCACAAACATACACGGAAAGAGAAAAGGCGTGTCTTTAGAAATCATACAATGATGTCACAGGTTTCAGTCAGTAAGATAGATATGATTCACATACTGAGTGTGTACATGTGTCACTTCATGGTTTATGTGAAACTGTTCACTAAAGCATTATTTGCCTCTGCTCTCATGGGGGGAAGGGTTTAACGTATCGGTACTGGTCAAACAGGTTCTACCATGAACCACACAACATCAACCCTGGGCATTTCCTGGAATATAAGCTGAAGATACATACATATAAAGATCTCTGCTTTATATTTCCCTCCACACACGCAATCCAATACACACATCCACGTATCACAATTCTCTCATACTATCTTATGCTCTGGTGAGACATTTCACACACCCTACCAGTCACCGTCTCAGAGAGCATGAGAAACTCGGAAGTTTATTTCTGACATTGTGTGCAAATGCAAACTTCCTATAAATACCATCGTCATGGCAGTATAATAATCATCTTTTTTTTGGGGGGGGGGGGGGGGGGGGGATATTAGACCCACCCCTATAATTGTTTAGAGTTCCAAGTCAAGTAATTCAAACTGTCAACTGATAGTGATTCATAGCTGGGAGTAAATGGGACCGAGAAGCCCGTAATTCTGACAAATACTGTTTTGTTCTCATGCTAATGTTATCATGTATTGCTTTATATAGTTTAATTAGCTCTGGGGTGTTTGCATACATAGGCTATATATCTTGTAGTAGCATGTGGTATTATTATCACTTTGATCTTACCCACAGTTCCCATGGAGACGAGTTTCATGGAAACTCTTTCTCTCTGTCTGCTCATACACGCAGTTTCTACTTGCTACCGCCCCCTGTTGCAAATATCCCGCTAGTGTTCAGTTCAGCCACTAGGGGCAGTCGTGGCCTTTCATTGTAGCTTCAGTCCAGGGTCTGAGAGATCTGACATTTGTTTTGTTCTTCCCTTTATCGGTGTAATGGATGCTTAACATCACCAAAATGTCTCAGCAGACACTTCCTGTTTATCTCTTTGTTCTTTCTTCCTTATTGGTGATAACAACAATGTCCATTTACATCCTAATGAGAACATGAAGGTGAGATGGAGAGAATGAGGGAATAAAGGACAGAAGGGAATGTGTGGGAATGAGATAAAAGTGAAATCAATGGCGATGTTACCTGGGCCTCACAGGGTAGGATAATGGAGGACATTGGGATAAATACTAAGTGTGTGTTTTTGTAAGAGGCTACATATAATCCATATATCTGAGACAAATAGTGAAATCCACACGCACTATTTCATTTCAAATGATGACCACAACCATTTAAATGACATTAAATGTCTCTCTTTTGCTTTATTGATAGCAGCACTTAAGCTGGATATTAATTTCAAAATTATCCTATAATTTCTCATTCAGAGTATTTTAATATGACCTATTCATAACCCTGTAGATCTAAATCTCAATGGATTTTTTTTCTCCAGAAAGGTGATTGTGACCCTGCCTGGATAATAATATTAACCATTTTGGAGAAATTTCAATAAATACAACAAAACTATAATCAAAATAAGCAATTGATAGGAAAGCATTTCTACAGTAAACACAAATTAAGTTTTAATATGTGTTTTTATCTGAGGTAATATAATATTTTTGGTAACACTTTACAATAAATTAGCATTTGTTAACATTAGTTAATGTATTAACAAACATGAACTAACCATAAATAATACATTTGTTACAGTATTTGTTAATCTTTGTTAAAGTTAGTTAATAAAAAATACAGCTGTTCATTGTTTGTTCATGTTCTTCACAGTGCATTAACTAATGTTAACAAATACAACTGGTTAATAATGTATTAGTAAATGTTGAAATTAACATTAACAACGATTAAAAAATGCCGTAGAAGTGCAGTTCATTATTAGTTCATGCTAACTAATGTAGTTAAATTATGTTAACTAATGAAAATTTTAAACAGTGTTGTCATATTTTTCATTGAGGATGTTTGAAGCATGTTATGAAGTTGTATTTTTGTGCTCATGTCAATATAACAAAATTAAATATCAACCTTATGTTAACTATTAAAGGAACATATCGGTTAAAGTGACAAGTAGGCTCACATCCTTTCAGAATCAAGGCTGCTGACTCAGGCTTCATTTGCAATGTGCCTGCAGCGTCTCCTTCATCCACTAGAGAGCAGTATAAAACAAGTCTTAAATCGCTGCAGTCTAAAGATTCCGAAGACGATCAGTTTAAGTGGTACAATTAGGAGAGAGTCAGGAGATGTGCTCGGGAGGCCTCAGGGCAGAGCTAAAGGCCTCAGGGAACAGTTCAAATAGTGTACGATGTCAGGTTTGGATGCACGCAGCATACAGAGTGAGAAGCTTTGAGAAGATGCCATGTTGGATCAAAATCATCATTCAAGAGATCATAGGCTTGTAAGGGAACACAAGTATGAAGTGTGTCTGTGTGCGTGTATTTGCTTTCCAGTATGTATGTGTTAGGGATGTGCATCTCCATGTGTGCATGTAAGACTTGTTTCTGCATGCATTATTTTTGCTGCCTATATATATTAAGGGTGGCACGGTTCAGTTTGTATCACGGTTTTAGGGTCACGGTTTTCGGTTCTGTACGGTTCTTGTTGTTATTTTTTCTTTTAATCTTTAACACTCCAGAAATGTACTTCAGCATAATATATAGCGTAATTGTCCACAATTTAGGATACAGTATTAACAAAAATGTTATATCATGCAATCATGCACAAACTGAATTTGACTTGACTTTAAGCACATTATTGGGACCATGTCCGAGG